TTTGTTGAGAATTACACAACCCTCTTGGGTCTTAATGCAATTACAACAAATTTTAATACTACAACAGGCCTTTATTGTAATGTAAATAAAGTGCAAGTAAAAACCATCACATTGATAATTAAATCCGCTTATAACATGCATCACAAAATCCTAAACATGAATTCTACTCGTTACAAAAGAAAAGTAAAATGAAAATAACAGCATAATCTTCTCATGTCATTATTTTCCAAGAGAGAGTAAGAGAAACTCATCACAAAGCACGAAGAAAACACAACAGAAACTTCATTTAACCAAAACAAATCCACTAGATAAGTGTTTACAAAAATCAAAAGATAATGAAGAACACAATACTTAGCTTTTTGCCTTTGAAAGAAAGACGAATATCTCTCCCACAAAGTCTCTTGCCAATCCATGCAATGCTAGAATATCTCCTTACAAATTCTCTCAAAATCTCCTCTCCAATCTCTCCAAAAGGGTAGAAATCTATATTTCTACCCCTATTCTAAAAAACCTTAACTTTCTCCACATTTTTCCTAACATTCCTCTCGCACAAAAATCCTCCCTTTTCTAACCTAAATTTGTTCTTTTAAAGTGTAGGGATGAAGTATGAAGAGGTGTCAGAAGAATCCTTTCAAAAAGCGTCCAAATACGTTGAATTTCGGCTCATAACCGTCCCGGGCGTCGTCGACGGGCTCGAGGGCGCCGTTGGCGAGTTTTTCTATCGTTTTTCGGTCTTCTCAGGTAAATCTCGCCATCAGCGCCATTTTGGGCGCCGTCGGCGAGCAGACTGCGCAGGTTCACCGTTTCGCTCCGTTTGGCTCCGTTTTAGCTTCGTTTTGCTCCATTTCAGTTGCGTTGTGTTCCTAATAGACAGCCCTACAAAATAAGCATGAAACAAAATAAGCATGAAAACACAAAATAAGCATGAAAACAACCTTCCTTTAAAGTGAAATCTCATTCAAAAATATGCAAGAATTGTAAAAAAGATTAAACATCAAAAGACTTATCGAAAGATGATAGAGCAAAATTTCATTTCTTGTTCGTTTTTGCTCCAAATTGTACCGTTTTTGTTTTTTTTTCTCCAAAAGTCCATAATTCATCATACATGCAACAAAACATAAAAAATATCCTTCTTTAAAGTGCAATATCATCAAAATCAGTGTAGAATAGGTATGAAAATCTCAACATATTTTCCTTTGGTCAATAATCCATAATATTTCAAGGTTGTATGCCCAGTGCAACATAAATCCTCACTTTATCTTTAGGTCTTTGCACAATCATATTGTGCAATTTAAGCCCTAACTCGTTTTAGGATTCCGAGGTTGTCGTTAGTTATGACATAAATCCTCTCATCTTCCAGGCTATTTGTGTGATTGTGTCACACAAATGCCATCTCACATAAATGTAAGCCCAATTAATAATAATTGGTAGGATGAAACATTCAATATTTTCTTCTCAAAATTAAAGCCAAATCATAGGATAGCTTGAGAAGTCACTGCAGTTCTCCTAAGAATTTGTGACATCCCCTAGTTTCTCTTCATTTGGACTCCATAATAAATGTTTCCAAATTTGAGCTTTTCCCATTTGACTCACCTCGGTCTGATCTTTGAAAATTCCCATCCTTTAAAATTCTTGAAGACAATATTTTGTAATCTAAATAGAGAGTTTTGTTAAATGACTATGGTCATTTAAGATGTAATTAACTATATGAGCTTGCCTCTATAGGGATCTTTAAGAACCCAGATAATATAAACCCTATCTAATCTTTTATATTAGATAGGGGAACTTATCGATCAACATAAATGTTCACAGACTAAAATGAATATCATAAATTCTTTAGCTTATTTAATCGAGCCTCACAGATAAGTGATATGTCTACTCCTCAGGATGATTATGTCATTTGTAGTGTTGTGCTCGTTTATTTAAACTATTATTTATATGAGATTAGTTTGGTCTCGTATTTGATTACTTTTTCAAAATTAAAACATTATTTTTCTAAAAATCAATAATATATATATATATATTAAATCAAATTTGATGGCTGATAGTGCCTCGGCTTAGGTTCCTTTGATCAACGTACTTATTGGCTTAGGTTCCTTTGATCAACGTGCAATAAGTTTGTCACCTTAGCAACCCTCAACAACGAAAGCAATAAAAACAATAACTCAGTTGATAATCTTAACAAATAAGTCAACTTGAAAGAGTCAAATAAATGACCTCACTACCCTCAATTTCCAGGGAGAGTTGAGCCATAGAGTTAGAACTATTAGACTTGGAGATGTCTTTAAAAGAGTTCACTAATAAGAAATTAACTCAGAGTCCGAGTTAGAACACATACAAAATAACATAAATTAGTTTACAAAGAGGAAGAGTTCTAAGTTGGGGGAAATCACAGTCTTACACTCAGGGCCTTTGCGTAGATTAATGTTGATGGTTCGGGTTGGGAGAGTGTTGTCGAGGCTTCATTGGTTGGCTTTTCCTATGAGAGTTCTATAACTGTGGGGAGACAACTATATGTTATGGTGGTGTGGTCCTTGCCTTAAAGCCAAAGCTTATTGGAAGATGACAAAAATGTGGTTTTCGACTCGTAGAAATGTTGTAGCAAAAACTCTTTGACGTAATCCATGCTAGGAATATATCTATGGTGGGCTTGTCCCGTTGGCACTTTTCTTGTTGGTGGTATGATCCACATTCACTGAACCTTTCAGGACGTTGAATCAAAATTTATCATGTGAATCACACCTAAGGAATAAAGTGTAGAATAGGAGAGGGGAGGAAAGAGAGAGAGAGAGGAGTGCATAGTGACTTTCCCCTTTAAGGAAAAATAGAGTATTCTCAGGCTCTTGTGGACCTTTTTATTTAATCAATTATTTTTTAAACATGGGCTAAAGGAGTGAGCCAAAAGTTTCTCTTTGTAGAAATGACCCCGATTTAGAGGCAAGGGGATATAAAGTAGAAAATTACATGGTTTCCCCTACTTTTATGGGGGGCATTACAAAATATTTTGGGCATAAGAAAATTAAAGGAGCCTATGAATTAACTACAATATAGTTTGGTGGACAATGATCTGTAATCCTTTGGTCGGCCTGGTGCATTCAGTCAACTCTATTGAGTTGAAACAATCGATTGGCCCAGACAATCTTTTGATCATCCAAACTTATCTCAGTCACTCAAACTTCACTCGATCGTCTGAATTTCACTCGGTCGTCCAGACATTTTTCGTCAGGCTTGAGATAGTAAATTAGTTATCTCGATCCGACTGTCAACTGTTGAACCTTACATAGGAAACTTATATTCCTGGGTAGAACTGGGCTATCAGATTGAGGGTAAATTACCATAATCTTATTGGTATCCTACCTCATTTTAATAAGAGAGCACTTAGAAAGCTTGATAAATGTTTAACGATGAAAATCTTTGGCCTTCTAAAGAGTCTTGGAGGCCCTTGTGAGGCGTCTGGTGATACTTGGATGAGGGCCAGACTTGTTCCTTCCCTTGGTTACATAAGTCTTAATCTTTGACTTTGACGACTTTTGTTCTATCAGCTCGAATCTTGTTTTAAGGGGTGGTAGATGGTCAATGAGATCCTTTGGTCATTTGTTGGTGTGGTTCCTGGTTCTTCTTATGGGCTATCATTGACCATATTTTTATTTTGTAGTTCATTGAATTTCCTCGAGATTTGTGCTGAGGCATTTCTGACGTACAGTCTGCTTGAAAAATTTTTAAACAAAATTAAAATTTATTTCAAAATGTTACCTATTAACTTGAAAAAATAATGATTTAAAACATCATTTGAACAAGAAATGAATTGAGTTTTAAAGCAAAAGGTAGAACTTTTGGATTGGAACATAATTTTAAGGTACATTTGAATATCGTTCGATCATTAACTTTAAAAGTTGATTTGAAGCTCAATTCAAATTAATTCAAATAATGTTTGAATCTATAATATTGCAAACCTGATGTGAACCTAATAATTAAGTTCTTGCTCCAACTTGGAGTTACAAAATTGACCTTGAATTAGGTTCAAGCAATGGGATCAAACTTTTTTGTTCATTGTTGTCGTCTATGAAATAAATTCATTGGATTTTTTCCCTCAATATGAATTTAAATGTCCAAAATAATTATTTCCTTGGAGGGATATTATACTCAGAGATATTACATGGCTAAGTTCAACCAGATAACTAAGCTAATAATGTGATGAAGATAATTAATAGTTATTTTTAAAATTTTGATCTTCTTGACAGAATACATAATTCTTCTACAAGCAGTTCTTTAAATTGCAATTTTATGGGGATATTACTAATTAAATTCACCTATTGAAGCTTAATAATGTAAGAAATAATGATTACTCTCTTATATTCAACATTAAAGATAAGAATGTAAGATTTGAAATACTAAAACTTTTTGTTAATATTGGATTAGGAGTTGATGTATTTTCCATTAATGAAAAGTTTAGAAGGATGAGTGTTGGAGTAAAACTTATTGATAACAAATTACTAAATGGCATAAATAACTTTAATAATGCATCTCATGAGAATATATATAACGTGTGCACTATTAAGTAATATATTTGGAAGTTGTCACACTATTGTATTATTAATAGATTGCCACCAAATAATGAGGAATAAAGCTTTTATTTTGAGATACTAACATTAGTTGAAGAAAAAGAAAAAAAAAGAAAGGGACAACAAAAATACGATACATATTGAAGAATATATCTTAATAAAAAGATTGAAAAAGCCATAAATTAGTATTTGATAAGTGGATTCGCTGTTTGTTTATAGTAGTTCGCTTTTTTAGCATTGTTCCACATATGTACTTAATATTTGCAGGTTGTATCTTTGTGCATTTTACGTAATTATTTACATGTTTAAAGGATTTTTAGGCACTATCATGTTGGTGCAATTATGATTTTGAGATCAAATTTGGCTTAGAGCATGGTCCAGAGTGCCAAAAAAAGTGCCAAAACCCTTTAGGAAAAAAAAAATCAAATCATTGATAAGAAAATTGGCAGGCATTTGATCTTATTTATATGAAATTCGTGTTTTTATGGTCAGCTTTTCCCTCCAAAATTTAAAAAATAAAAATTCAAATCATTGCAGGGAGTAAAACGAATCCACTGATAAGTACCCAATTCAAACTTTCTACGGAGCAACACAAATGTCAGGACATCATTCTGATAGTCTTAAGGGTCTACGAGCTGAAAAGTTTAGGGAGTTTTTGTTTAGGTTTGTTTTTTACTTTTTATTATTTAGTTTTTATATTTAAATTGTTCCTTGCCACTTGCGGAAAAAGGGTTTCAGTTCTCACGGACATTCTGCAGCAAATGAAGCTGAGCGTTATTCAGAAGAGCCCTGGATGCTTCGTTTGTAGAGTCGATCATGCGCAGCAATTTTATATCATGTTGCCATTTCTCCATTTGTTCCCGATGAATCCTTGGCGCAGATTGATTATCAAATTCGTCAGATAAAAAAATCCAATAATTTAGATAATTATTGAAAATACTACGAATAACAACGTACATGATCAAACGCTCTTCAAACTCGGAGCTGAGATCCTTGAATAGTTGCTTCCCTGTTTCAAGCATCTCCGAAAGCTAGCTTAAGAACAGGTAATTAGGAGTGGTTGTGTATTTCGAGAATTAGAATATATTTGCGGTTAATTATATAGAAAAGTTTACCTGCTGAGTGAATCGATCGATCTTCTCCAGGATGCGCTGAATGTCGGACTCCATTTCTTCCGAGCAAACCTGGATCATCTCATCCGAACCCGCCGTGGCCGTCATTTCTTCCTCCACACCAGCATCGACTCCTCCGGCAGTTCCCTCCTCGCTTCCATCCTGTCAATGATGCTTTTGATCAAGTTTGAACAGAATTTATAAAAAAAAAACATCGGAGATTTTGAGATCTTTGTATTATGCACTTGATCTGGATCCTCACCGCTGTTTTCATACGTTTGCGCAAGACCTCCATTTCAAAACTCACTTGGAAAATTCAAATCAGTGAGAATTGAGATAATGACATCGGTGACAGAAAGACCGAACGACAAAGTTCAGAGAAGCATTGCACCTATAGTAGATTTCAAGCAGTAAATGATCTCAATCCGATCATTCGATCGCCCAAGAAAACGACGGAGAAATGGTTCGCCGCAGATCCTAGCCCTGAAAAAGAAAAAATGCCGCTGATAAATTAACCGCACTTTTGTATGAAATTGGAACAAGAACTCGTCAAAAACCACCTTCCCCACTTCTTCCCCCGGACCTTTCCCCTTTCCCTCCCGTCTCTTAAATTTGAATGCAGCAAGCCTATTTATAGGCTTTGTGGTGGGAGGCAAGAGAGACGAAGGATTAAGAAAAAACAACCGCAGGTAACCATACTGCTTGTTGCAAATCTAAAATAAAGCTTACAATTGAAGTTTCCTTTGAATCAAATCTACACTGATTTAGATAACCACATGCTTGCTGGCTTTGCAAGTTTAGATGTATCTTTTAATCTCCAACTCTTAAGATATCATCTGGTAAGATATCTCATACACAAGATAATCAACACATTGATTTTGTATTTGGTTTTATGTTAAAAAAACATATCATATAATAGGAAGAACAATATGGAGAATTGGGAATTAAAATTGCATATATATGGATTTCATATTGATGGCTTGCTTTTTGAAATTCTAGCTCCAAAGTTTATTTAATTAATACATTGTGATTTACTTAAGATATCATCTGGATAGATCATACTATTTATTAACTATACATTGCGACTTATTTTACATTTTTGTAGAAATGGTCTATCTTTTGAAACACTATTTTCATTGACATAGCTATTTAATGTCGCTGGAAATTTCCTTGAAAAATTTTAGGAGCTTATCATGAGTACTTGACTTGTTGCTGTGAGTTGTCTATTATATTTCCACTGGTTTATAGATAAAAGGCCTTCTTTTAATGCACTTACATGCAAATTCTTTTAATTTTTTTTTTATTATTTGTATATTGGTTGCCGAATTTGTTTTTTTTTTTATCAAAAGAATCTAAATGCCAAAAATATTGAAAATATTATAGTCAGGCCATATGCTCGCTCAAATCTTTAGGGTAATATTAAAAATTATATTTAACTATATATCTGGCTTATATGTTCTCTACATTATAATTGCAATATCTACCACAAAATCAATGCTTTGTTATACTCTTAGAAATATAGTAACTAATGTGTTTGTTCTAGTTCTAGCTTTCAACGTGAATATTAATTCTAATTTTCTATGTAAAGGTTCATTGTCTTGTAGGCGACTTTTGAGATTATAAAAGCTAATCCAAATATATGTGTAGGTGGAGTTCTGAATTCACACCAGTAATGCCAATTTTCTTTTCCCAGCAATTCTTGTGCCAATCCCATTGTCATCAACCATTGGATGATTTTTGGGGACTAAAGAAGAGTTGTAATGTATGTCTTCTTGTATTATGGATGAATGCTTTAGTTCCCTAAAGGAGATGTGTATCTTCATATGCCAAAGATGTCAATGAAGCCTATCCAAGGAAGACTTCATATATATGATTCGTCATTTTCCAACTTGATTAATTAGTTGTATTTATGAAAATTAATGAAAGCTAAATTGGTGTAGTTTCAATATTATTCAAGCCAATTGGTACTTATGCAATGTTGAGTGTTATTGAACTTTCTATTAAAAAGCCATGGACTACTTATATATAAGAATTTATTTAACCTAGGGTTTATATTATTTAGATTGTCAATCGAATGAAATTTAATTTCCTATTGAGTTCTTATTTTTTTGCATCTTCATTCCTCTACTTCTCAGTCTACTATTACTCTTTCTCCCATCGAGTTTTGCATCCTACCAACCATTGCTCTCTTTTTTTTTTGCTTGTGTTATCACAATGTATCACAACATCCCATAAACTCATGTACTAATAAATGTACTTATAAGATATCAAGTGAGAATAAATTTCTTCTAGTACGACCTGTTTTTGAATTTTCAAGAAATTGGTTGAAGACTTGAGTTATAAGGAAGAGAAAAAAAGACAATGAAGGAAATTCAACCAATGCACGAATTTATATTTATTTACTTTTCTTACTTTTATTATATAATAAAATTGATGCAGCTCTATAACAAATGAAAATGAGATACCATTTTGTGATGAATTCTTACTGGAGTACTAAATCCTTATTTATATAAAAATATGTGTTCTGTAATTATTTTGTTGCTCAATAATGATGAATTCATTAAATCCAATAATATAGAAGAATTTGTTGAGCTTCAAGAATAGATTCAAGTAATACTTTTCCCATGTAATTAGTATATCTATTGGTTAACATATCAACTTTAATTGGTTGAGCCTTATGCATGATTTTAACTTTACAACAGTATCCATCGAGACTTACTATTGAATAAACTCTTTTTTTACTCATCATATACCTTATCACAAAGAAGAGAGTCTTAACATTATGGCTAGGCCAATGGAATAAGAGATTATATTTATATAAACAAAGGGGATTTTGATACTTTAATATTAATAAATAATTAATACTATTGAAGAATTTCTATCATGTATATAAATTTCAAAATTTGGAACATGAAAGAAAAATTTAGCTAAATTGATCTTCATTTTTGATAATTCATGATGGATTGAAATTATTGATATCTATTTAATGAATACTAATTATTGAAATTCAAACTGATGAATCGCTAATGAATAGTTCAAATTGATGAATTAAATTGCAATAATTATATACACAGTGAAAAATTCAAATTGATGAATAATAATGCTAAATTCAAGTTTTATGAGCACAAATTATCAAAATTTAATTGATGAACACCAATTGTTCAACCCTATTAATTTAATTTCAATTATAACAAATATGAGTTATTGAGACTCCAATTGATGATTGCTCGTTGTTAAACAAATACTCCAATCTAGTTATTGATATCCAACTATTGATATTATTTGTTAATTATTAAGTAATAAATTCCAAGTGATGACTTCGAATTAGTGAATCCTTCTACAATATAAGAATGTCCAACATGAATATATAAATGAAAACTTTTTCATGGATTGCTTCTATTTTTCATCATTGTTGTTAATATAATATAACATTTAGATGTTCTGCTTCATTAGATAAATTTTAAGGAAATAATAAAATAAAGGACATCACTGAGTGCTGACTGCTCTTCCATTTGGAGCCTCTAGCTCTCTTATAAGTTTCATCATAGTGACTTCTTGAACTATTCCAAAGAGAAATCCCCATTGGATCTTCTTGCTCATCTTTAAGTAGTTATTTGACTTTTAAACTGATCTTTAAGTTCAGTTGACTTTTATAGAAGCTTATGGTGGTATATTTTTTTCTTTTACATATTTATAAATTATTAAATAGAGATATCTCTAATGTTTACCAAAAAATTTTTATTTTAGTTTTTCATTGATTTTGTCAAAAAATATACATTTGGGTAAACTTATTTAATGAGTTCCTAGAGTGTAAAATGATTCAATATTGGAAAGCATACACGGTAAAAAGTTGTGTATCAAATCCTTAAGTTCTCCATGTTCTAGGTCTTATAGACCTCTTTCCCAATGCATGTCTTCAATTTGTAAGTCATTAGCCTTACTTAACATTGAAAAATTTATGGCTTCGTCCAAATTAGCTCTAGTTTGCTGAAAGTGAGGTTGTGATACACTAAGTCGGCCTTCTTCAACACTAAATTTTTTGGCTCGAGCAAATTGCCTTTAACATTTGAACTATAATACTTCAGACTCCTTTTAATTTTTCTAGCTTCAAGAATGACTAGTATTGAAGTTCCTTAAATAGAATCAACACAATATTTTAACCTAAATCATACACACTTCTCCATTTATCTTGTTTCACCTATGTAAAATTAGATCGAACGGTTACCCTCTAACTGTGCAAATTCTATTCAGTTGGAAGCATGAATTTGGCTCTATGAGATAAAATAAGTTAGGCTTGCTCTATAGTAGTTTCACTTATGTTGGAATACCTTTCTTCTATGAAAGTTAAGCATCAAATTGCTCTCCTCACCTTGATTTTATCATTTGCCTTAGAATGGTTGACTGAAGAAAACTTTAGGTGAGTCCCTTGGCATTAATAAAAGTTTTTAACTTTTGAACTTCAAACTGCATGTTATTTGTTACCGCTTTTAGGTACAACCACACACTTGGGGCTCACACAAGTGCATATGTCATATTAGTAATATCATATTTTAGAGTCTGTAATGTCGATTCCACAGAGAAAATGGTAATGCAAAATAGGAAAAGTTCTAGGTTACTGGTTTCAAGTCCTAGCCTGAAAAGTTGAAAATGTTAAAGTCTAAAAAGCTAACCTACTTTGTTACAACTAACAAAAAATTTAAATCCTACACAAGTAATCTTACTTTTAGCAATTTGGATTGAAATATATTAATTACTTAAGAGGCTCTTCCTTGTAATGATTTAAGTGGATGACATTGAATGCAAATTTGCAAGTAGTAAAATATCTAGAGACAAATAGGAGCAACGATCTTCTTTACTCTCTCTAGAGTGCATAAAGAAGCTTGGATAGAAATGAAATTAAATCCTTATTCCAATAAATATCCCTTCAAAGCATACTTCCCTTACATTTATATTTTCCCACAAGGCATATCAAATTATACCCCATAATTTAATGTGATTAACCTAGTTGATTCTACAACAATTCACTTAACTTGAATGAAAATTAAATTAAGATATTAAGGTTAATCATCACCATTTGTTAAAACAAAATTACTTAGAACTTCACATTCCATTCATCCTTCCTAATGATCATAGAAAGAGTTAAAGGTTAACCCAAGAACATGCTGATTTTACCAAAATAAGTGCATCGAACACAAGAGAAACCCGCTAAATCTTTTTTAAAACAAAATTACATAATGCAATAAACAAAGATACTTTGCTATTCCTCCTTTACAATCACCAAGGTTGACTCCAAATAGCACTCCTCCTAATTTCCCCACTCTTGCCTGGTAGAACACCACTTCCTTAGCTCTTAGAAGAAGAACTATGGTTACCCAAAGTAAGATAAACCCTTAAGTAACTAGCAAACCTCAATTTTTTTTCCATCTACAATACATGACTACCTATAGGCTCTAATAGTTAGTACCCATGACTCCCTTCCTTTAGCACACAATTTCCCCACGACCTGTCACTTTAACTGCAGTAACTGACCAAAACATTTGCTGGTGCCTAGGCGCATAGTTGCTGGCACTGACAGCGACTTTATATATGCTTAAAAATATAATACTGCTGCAAAAAGAATTAATTCCTCAGCAATGACACCAAAAACTTAATAACAGTTATAGA